CAACGAAAACGGCTACTATTACTGTCCTCCTTGCTACCAGCAAATCACAGGCAAAGAATTTCAAGAAAGTAAAGATTGAACAGACAAACTTAATTGTTTATGTTGCTTAGGTAGAAGGAAAAAAGAAAATAAAGGCAAGGGTAAAAAAGAGGATGTAGAAGAAATAGAGTTAGAAAATATACCAATAATTACTGGTGAAGAAAATCAACCAGGAGAACTTGTAGAAAATGAAGTAATTTCTTCCCTTATTAATAGAAACTGAAAAGAAATCCACCCCGATTTCACGGAAGAATTACAGAGCAAGTGAGAAGAATGAGTCGCAACTTCTAATAAAAAGAAATTTTTTTCCTATGAGCAAGTTAGAGAATGAATTGCTGTCAACTTAGCCCCTCAAGAGGTTGGATTCGCGGCTTTTTTAGACCATAGTAGTTACAAACCAGAAGAATTGGATAAAAATAAGGGCTGGATAATTGCCGGAACTATAATTTTAGTTAGCTATTTAATTGATTGGAAAAAAAACTAATAATTACTTTAATTTTTCTAATTCTTGGTGGATAATTAGCGGGTAATAATTCACTCTTAATTTTTAACTTTAACCTAAGATAATTAAACATTTCTTGCTGAGAACTTTATTTAATTTTCTAAATTAATCTTCTTTATAAAACTGAATATTTGTTAACTACCGCTGACGGAGGAGAGGAGCGAATGCTCCCCTTTCCGTTTTTGTTGACAACTTCTTCACTCTATTTTGAGAAAAAGAGTTCATTCTCCTTGTTTAGCTTCATTGAGAGAGTTTTTACTCTTCTCCTTCTTCGTTGCTGTTTTTTCTCATGAAATAAACAACTGCCGCAGCAATAGCCAATACTATCGCAAGCAGAATAAAGGTATGTACAGTTTTTCATTGGAACTTGCCCGAATCATCTTCTGAATCTTCCTTGTCTTTTTGGATTTTTTTTAGCTTAGTTAACTTTTCGTTTATTTCGCTTATTATATCGGTCAGTTTAATATCACCGCCAATTTTATCCAGGATTTCTTTCTTTTTTCCGCCTTTGGCATTTTTAAAACTTTCTAAACCTTTCTTTAATCTTTCTAGTTCACTAATTTTACTAGTATCAGTATCCGAGTATTTTTTGTGATTAAAGCGGAGTAGTTCAGCTATTAATTTGTAATCTTCGTCAGTTTTGTTAATCCCTAATAATTCAGCAGCTTTTTTCCACCGTGGTAAAAGTTTATCAAAATGAGCTTTATCATTTTTATATGTTGATTTTTCTTTAAACACGAGTTCAGCAGCGTTAAACTTATCAAGAGAATCAGCTTCTAATAAATCTTTGGTGTCCGCTTCTTCTGTTTGCTTTAAATCTTCTAAATGTTTAATCGCTCCATCTACAAAACCAGTTCCACTTACTTTCTGATAGTTATTTACGGCTCCTCAGGCAGTTTTGCGTTCGTCAGTCTTTCATTTTTTAAGGTTGTCAAGTAAAGTCGGATTATCTTTGACTTCTTTTTCGGCTTCTAAACATTTATTATATATTTCTAGGGCTCAACCAATCGTTTTGGCATCCGCATTAGTTAATTTTTCTAATATCTTACTCGAAATATTAGCGTCATTAATGGCAGTTTTCAAGGCTTCTCTGGCTTCCTCAGGAGTTTTTTCTTTTTCATCATCTTTCTTTTTGGCTTTGGAAAGAGCCGTGGAAGCGAAAGGCTTGCCGTCTTTATCTTTAATCTTTTCGGCTAATATTCAGGCTTTTTTTTCATTAGTGTTATCGTCTTTGTCTTGAAAGTCAGTTTTTAATTGACTAGGGCTGACTTCGTTGCCGTCTTTATAAGCTTGGTCGATTAATTTAACTAATTTTTTTAAGGCATCTAAAAGCGGTCTACCACCCGCAAGAATTTCGGCTTCGTGCTGGTTAAAAATCTTTTTCAAATTGCTTTCTTCCTCCGACAGGTAAGTAATACTATCTCGGGCAGCATCAATATCGGCCTTGGTAATTTTTTTATTAGGAGTAGGTGGAGCATCTTTTTCGCTTTGAATTTTACTAATTAATTTTAAAATTACTTTTTTTCAAACACCATTCCCATTAATATTTCTTATAATTATATCTTTATAATAATCGTCTTTTTTATCATCAGTTTCACCAGAAACGGCAGCTGTTAGGTAATTAGTTGTTAATTGACCTATAAAAACTTTTCTTTCTGTATCATTATTACATTTCTTTTCTAAAACATCAGTAATGAATTTTTTAAACCAGTCATAAGATTTTTTTAGTTTTTTACCATTAGCATTGTTTTCATCATTTTTATTAGCAACAATATTAGTATTATTCCGAGCAGCAACATAATAAATATTTAATAATACTAAGCGAGTTCTATCACATTCTGGATTAGCTAATCTTTCATAAATCCTACTAATAGCCGTATTGATATTAAATGTAGTGTCAAAAGCTAAATCAAAAGCAAATTTCGTCATCTGGGAATAATTATATTTGGAGAAACTACCCTTCTCCCCTGTGCCTGCATCGATTTGTGTATTAGCTGCTATGTTCTGTCCTTGATAAGTAAAGACCGGCCCAGCAACTGCTAAACCGCTACCAATATCCTCGGGTAAAAAGCCGCGACACTGTAGCGGATTTTTGCCTTTAAAAAGGTCTGAGTCAGCAAATAAATCAATATTGGCAACAGTTCTGCCTGAGGCGGCAGCACTATGATCAGCAGCCACGTTGGTGCTAGGAGCTTTATATTCTAACCGAACTTCACCAGTACCAGTTGCAGCACCTATGACTTGGGAAGACAAAAATATTTCAAAATTCCGATATTTGCCATTTTTAATTCCGTATTTGTTTAGGCTAGTAGCACCTGCCGTATCACCATTAACAATTTTAGTTAAATTAGCTTTGCCCGCTGGGCTGTCGTCCAAATTACCATCACCCAGAGTAGGAGCAACGCCCGAACCACGATCGGTTATTGTAATTCCATTAGCATTAGCCCTTAATATGTTAGAAATAGTATCAATTCCCATTTTTCTTCAAGCTCTAAACTCCATCGTTCTTCCTAGTAATAAGTCAATCATGATTTTATAAATATTTTCATGATCACCAGGTCCATTATTACTAACACCTTTACCCTCTTGTTTGAAAACAAATGAATAGATTAGTTTTTTAGCATTTTCCTTAGTGGGAGCAGCAAAATAGTTAGTTTTAGCAGTAGCAGAACCAACAGTACCATTATAATAAGAAGTCAAATTTTTAATATCGGTCTCTATGTCTCCAATACTAGGTAATTTATCTTCGGCATATCTTTTTTCCAGTTTTTCTATTAAATCTTCGGTTTCTTCAAAAATATCTATTAGTTTGTGATTATCAGTGCCAGAACTTTTATCAAATTCTACTTTTTTATAACCATTAGCGTTAAAATTCGCCACAGTATTATCATAACTATTAATGTCAATAATGTTTTGTTTTACCTTTTTTCAATCTCCTTCCTTAATGCTAGTAGTGCCAAAAGCAATAGCGGCAGCATTAGTTGCAGTTGCATCTAGAGGAAGATAAGAGCCGCTGTTAAGAGCGGGAAAAGCATCAGGAAACCCTGCTACTGCATTCCTTGCATCATCATAATTAATTCCCTTTATAGTTATAGCTCAATTATCAGGATTAGCACCAGCAGTACTATATATAGCTCTTTTTCATTGAATATAACGAGCAATTTTTGCCGCTAATCCTCTTGGAAAAGTAAGGGTAATTCCCCTAATAGAATTTATTGCTACCTCATTTCCAGCAGCACCAGCTCTAATTACTGTATCATCTTGTACAGTGCCGTTAACATTAGCAAAACGAACCCCATTACCAGCTTCATTTCAAAAATTGCCTTTATCCATCACACCAGCAGTGCCGGTACCATCATCCGAACGTAATGTTATTGTATTTCTACTACTAGTAGCAGTGCCTATACCTATTGAATTTATTATTATTGTTATTCGTGTTGTCATATATTTTAATTCTATTTTAATTCTATTTTAATTCTATTTTAATTCTATTTTAATTCTATTTTAACTTGTAAATTGCCTTATTACTGCATTATTTTGTTAAGAAAATGGTTATATACTTCATTACAGCCTTTCGAAATGAATTGAAGCTGCTTTTTAGTTTCTGAATTGGGTTTTAAGTTGCCTTGATAAGTTTTAGTGAGAATATTTTCTTTTAGATGCTTCATATAGCCAGACTAACCGAGAAGCATCTAACAACTGATTAGTCTAACTAGTTCAACATTAATTTAGTCTTTTTTGCCAATTCATTCCCGACTTAATTTTTTGCTATTAAAATTTGAAAGTGGGGTGTTCTTGGCTGATTTTGTAAAATATCACCAATTCTCCACGAAATGTGGGGAAAAGGCACGGCTGATACTAGTTCGTTAGATTTAAACTGACCGGTGGCTAGTTAGCCAGATAAAAACAGCCCTGATAAACCAGTGCCCGAAAAAAGCAATCCCTCTCCTAAAACCACTGACAGCGAGAAAGTTGTCGGAATAATAATGGTGGTAGTGGCTATTGATGCTCTCTTATTTTTAATTTACCGACTAAGGAGAAAAAAACCTAAATTATAATAAATTTATGAAAAATTATAAAATTGTCGCAGGAGGATGCAATGTTTGACCGGTAATTAGCGTTATTCTGGCTATCTTTTTTTTGGTTGTGCTCTTGGTAGTTTCTATAATTATTTTGTTAATTTGAAGTTAAGTCAGCAGGTCTTTTTTGTTTAATCTAATTAATTTTTCGCCCGTAAACTGATAAATATCATCCACATACTTAAATATTTCATAATGGTGGTCAATCACTAAGACTGTTTTACCTTTTAATTGGGTGAAAACATTTTGGAGAATAGTTGCTTTGAGGGTAGGGTGAACGTTGCTTAATATTTCGTCTAGAATATAAATGTCATAATCATGAATAAACATTTTCATAGCGGCAATTTGTTGCTTTTGCCCTTCGGACAGGTCAGCACCGCCTTCTCTTAATTCGGTGTCAAATCCCTTAGGTAATTTATCAATAAACTCCGCAATGCCAGTTTTTTGGGCGGCTTGGACTAACTTTGGTAAGTCGGCTGGTTGGTATTTATACGGATAACAAACATTTTCAGCAATACTGAGGTGGAAAAAGGTAGGACGGTTAGTTTGGTAGCAAATACGTTGGTGGAGACTAGTAGTGTCTATTTCTTGAATATTACGCTCACCAATTAAGACTTGCCCGGCTTTTAAATCGTAAAGTTTAAGGGTGGTTTTAGTAATAGTGCTTTTGCCAATGCCATTTTCACCGGCAATTCCATAACTTTGACCTTGGATAAAACGGAAAGAAAAATTGCGTAAAATATTTTGGTGAGGTCTTTTTGGATAAGCAAAAATTACCTTTTGGAAAACTATATCACCATTAGCAAAAGGGAGATTTGGGCGGGGAGCAACTGGCAAAGAAAGAGGGGCGGGAAGATGAAGAGTTTTTACTGTCTCACTAACAATTTCCACACTGCTGGAAAGTTCGTCCAAACTTAATAAGGCTTCTACTATTTTAGTTACTTCCCCATTCAAATTCTTAACCGAGATAAAATAAAGCGAAAAGTTGCCAATGAGAAACACTGCTTCTCCTTGATTAGAAGGAGAGGCGAGGGTTAAGGTTAAAGCCAGAAAAAAAATGGGAATATTAGGAATAATTAGATACTGGGGAACCGTCTTAAACAGGGCACTATATAAGAGAGATTTTTTATTTTTGCGGAAAGTAGAATCCAGTTGCTGACCAACTTTTTTTTCTTCGTATTTTTCTCCCGATACGGCTTTAATATACTCTAAATGATTAATCCGTTCGTAAATTATTTTGTTATCCTCTTCTTGCCTTTTTTTCGCTGCCACATTTAATTTAGCCGCTTTTTTAAATAGTAACACTTCCCCGATAATCAAAACGACAAATAAGCCAAAAGCCATGACTAAGAAAGTCCAATTTATCTTTCCTTCTTGACCAAAATTAAAATCATGAATAATAACACAAGAGATAGCCGCTGCTGCGTAAATTAAGCGATTAGGAATAAACCAAATACTATAAGAAATCTCATCCAAATCACTGGCAAATTGAGTGATTAAGTTGCGAGAAACCTCGACCGAATTAGCATATTTAGCCCGAATAAAATGGCGAAATAAATCTTTTTTTAAGTCCACCTCAATGCTATCATAACCATAATTCATTCAGTAATAATGGATAATAGAAAAAAAACTTTTAATCACCAAAATAAGGATTAAACAAGCCCCGATAAAATGTCAGATGCTTAAATTTTCACGGCAAAATAGCCACCCCATAAACTTAAATTCAAATCTAAAAACATGAGCCCGAAAAACATTTTCGTTTTCCGCCATGCCTTTCACAAAAGCATTCCGTAAATTAATACCAATATTAAAGTTAATAATCGCAGTAATTATCGCTAATAAAGCACAAAAAATAAATAATTTGGGATTATTTTTGATAACTCTTTTTAAAATAAGAAAAAGTAGTTTTATCTTGCGGGGTTTTTTTGTTTGGCGAACCGATTTAGTAAAGACAGTTGAAGTGGGCATTTAGAAAACTAACTATATATAATAATTTACACCAAAGCCAAAAAAAGGGGTTCATAAAGTTAAACTTTTTATATATAAAATATATAAAACATATTATATATGTCCCTAAACCTCGAAAGCCTATTTGAATTCTTAAAATCTTATCCCACCGAGCAAGATTGTATAAACTATTTTGAAAAGTTAAGGTGAAAGGGCAAAGTAATCTTTCCCTTTGACCCTAATAACAAAATAAAACTAGAAAGCATGGCGAGCAGGAAAGATTTAACTTAGTGCTTTCCTCGATGATAGGTAAACGATTAATTATCAACAATTAGTCAATTAAAATAAGGTAAAAATAAATCAATGAATAACCAACTGATATTATGCGAATAGTGTGGAATGCGTCGTGATGAAATTTTCATTAGCAAACACAAAAGCGGTAGGAATTATTGCGATGATTGTAAATCGCTTGCCACTAGTGGCATATTATCAGAACATATTAGGTCAGTAAGTCAAAAAGGAATTTGATAAAAAATTACTGGCTTTAATCAATACTCCTCCACTAAAACTCGAAGACCTTAAAGTTAAACTTAAAAAAGAGATGAGAAAAGAAAAATCGAAAAGCAAGAAGCAATTATAAGTTTTTTTGGCTTTAGTATAAAACTCTATATAATTGCCAAAATATTAATATGTCAGATTTTTGAATAGCTTTTTTTATTTTTATATCCGTTGTTGCTGTCTTTATTTTTATCTTTTCTCTGATTGGTTATTACTCATCCAAGTGATTAGCCAAATGGTGGAAAAACGTTCAAAGAATTGATAATCGGAAAAACCTCAATAAATCCCCAAAATTAAAAGAAATAGTGCGGATTGTTCGGGAGATTTCCCACATTTATAAAATAAAAATGTCGGAAGTGGGTGTTTATCCTTCTAATGAAGTTAACGCTTTTGCTACGGGTCCGGCGGGTAATACTTTAATTGCCTTTTCTAGTGGTTTAGTTAATATCATGAGCATTGAAGAAATTCGGGGAGTAGTCGGGCATGAATTATCTCATCTCATTCATTATGATTTAAAGAGGATTTTACTAGTTCAAGCAGCTGTTGATGTTTTTTATTATATGCTTTATTTTTGCTTATTTTGTGTTTTTTTTTGGAGTGGAGACGAAAGAAAAGAGAGAGGCGTTAGTTTTTTTTTCAAACTTATTTTCAAAGCGATACTTTTCCAAATAATAATGACTATTATTCGCCTAATTGGTATTATGTTGGTTCTTTGATATATACGAAAACGGGAATTTGCTGCTGATTTGCAAGGGGCACAAATAGTAGGAGTAGATAACATGCTAGCGGCCTTACGAAAACTTTTAGAGCTAGAAAATAAAGCGTGGATAGTTGATGGGGTAGATTTGACCGAGGATGATAAAGGAGAAGGAGAGCCTAGTTCCATTTCTCTCTTAAAGTTTAATCCCGAAAAGAAAAAAAGAGGTTGACTAGATTTATTTCGCACCCATCCTCGTTTGGAAGAGAGAATTGAGAGATTAGAAAAATTGAAAAAATAAAAATTATTATATGGTGTTTGATTTATTTCGAGCAAGAGATATCTTAATTTAATTTATATATATTATATAAAAAAGCATTAGAGCGCTAAAATAAACTATTATGAAAGCAGAACCAAGATACACATTCAGCATACATTTATCAATTTCTTTACATCAGAAATTATTAAACAAAGTAAGGAAGGGGAAAGTTAGTGCTTTTATTAAGGAAGTATTAGAAAAAGAATTAGAGGAGGAAGCCAGTTGTCTAGGAAATGCTTATAAAGAATGCTATACCAATAACCCCCATTTATTAGAAGAAGCCAAATTATGAGAAAGAGCCGAAATTGAGGACTGATTAACTTACGAAAATAATAAAAATGCTACTAAGAAACCAAGGATTGAAAAATAATATTCTCCGCGGAGAAGTCTACTGAGTAAACTTGCCTTTGTTTGATAAGTCAGAAAAAAAAATATTCGGGAATTGCAGGGCAGACATCCGGGATTGGTAATCTCCAACGACGAACAAAACAAATTCAGCCCTTTAATTACTATCTTACCCTTAACTAGTCAAGTAGATAAGATTTATCCGTTCCAAGTATTCAGTGAAATAAAAGTGCAGAAGTGGGGTGGTATTGGTTGACCAAATACGCACTATTGATAAAAAAAGATTTGACGGTAAATTAGGAGAAATAGATATGGAAATGATGGAGCAAATTGAACGAGCTTTACACTTAACTTTGGCTTTAAAGACATTAAGTCCTGAATAACTGCCTTTTTATCCCTTTTTAAATGTTCTACATTTAAGACAACTCAAGTAAAAACCCTGGATACTTGGCATTTTTACTTATTTTTAATTACTGAATAGTGGGGAAAATTTTCCTAAAAAACCCCCCTAGGCGTTCAGACTTTTTTTTACTAAATCACTTCTAAAAAATAAGCAGCAGTCCAGGAATATTTATCTAACTTTGCTGACTAATCACTATAAAAACTAAATTTAAAAACTTCTATGAAGCAGAAAAGCCATGACAAACAATCATATTCATCGCAATTACTCCACAATTGCTGCTACCTGAAAAGAGGATAAATTTAGGCGACTTTTAGACAAAAACTAAAAATACTTTAAAACAGAACTAGACTGCTATTCTAGTGCCTGAACTACTTAGGCTATTTAGTAGTAAATTCTCTATAAGAAAAATTAACGGATATGAATAACAATAACAATAACAATAACAATAACAATAACAATAACAATAACAATAACAATAATACATTCGAAAAGAAAGAAACAAAAAACATATCAAATCCACTTAAACCATATTGAAACGATGGCCGAATTCCGACTAAACGGGTGGAATTAACTGATAGCAATGCCAACCATGATTATTACGGGCAGTTTGAAAATTATGAAAACGGCGATTATCGCAGTGTTCAAGTTTGAGCCAGTAAGGACGGAAATGGGATTGAGGAAAAATTTAAGTGAAGTAATTCACGACCAGGACTTTTTGACGAGTTTAAGAACACTCCGTTTTATGGCGAAATAAAAGAATCAGACAAATAACCAAAGAAACAGGGAGTGTAGGAAACTTATTAGGTTATTCACCAGAAAAACAGTGTGGTAATTGTCATAGGTCAATTGACGAGAGAAGCGGTTATTTTGTTTGTAAAAATGATGGTGATTTTTTTTGTAGTTCTGATTGTAAAGAAAGAGGACAAAACCCCACTCACACAATCGAATACATTCCTAGTAATTTAGTGAAAAACAATAACCTATCACCTGATTTAGCCCAAGAAAACCAAGAACTACGCCAACAATTAGCAGAAGTGCAAAAGCAATTAGCCGAAGTTTTAACCGAATTGAAAAAATTAAAAAGTAATTCCGCCGGGCAAAGGAATGAAAAACTAGACCAACAAATAGCCCAAAATCAGAAGTTAATTGAAAATGGTGAAAAAGTATCCCAAGCCAAGGTTAAAGAACAAGTTCAAAAGTCCCAAGCTTTATTAAAAGAAGCCAGCGTTAGTGTTGTCTCAACCAAAGATAATCAGAAAGATAATAGTTTTGGTTCACTTCCTTATGTAATTGGTGGTTCTGTTGTGGTCATTGGTCTATTGGCAAGTTGATTATTAGTGAAAAAAAAAACCTAATTCCAATATCTCGTTCCAATAACCAAATCCCCTTCAAGCCGCAAAAAAGCCTCCTTTTGCGGCTGGGTTAGTCTAATAATTGAGTTCTCCCATTGAATTATTAAACATAACCCCTCTTCACATACTTCCGCCAAGTCTTCCGCTTACTCCCGGACAACTGACTTAAATACTTCTTCCCCACACACCCCAAACACAATATCTTCCACGCACTCTTAATCCCCCAAAAACTAGGATTATTCCGATTCTTCACCACTCCCTTCTTATTCGCTCCGGCTAATTCTTTACCACAACAATAAATAACAATTCGCCCTATCATATCTCTTATTCGCTGGCACTACCTCTCTCCTCACCAACTTAAACTCCTTAAACAAATCACAACCAAAGATATTTCTCGCCACTCCTAAACACAACTTCAACACAGCACATGAACTTCCTGACAAGCTTGACAATGAAGCTTCTCAAAAGCCCCTCAACCAAGGTTGAGAATAGTTATTTGGTGACAGAAATCACACTGCTGAATATCCAATTCTTTTAACCCAGCCAGTTTTTGCTGCTCTTTAACTGAAATTCTCACTACCATTTTTGCGGTATAAGGTATGTCTAGCTGAGCATTGAACTCTGCCATGCGAAGGTTGTTTATATTCAGTTAAGGATAAGTTATATCCAAGGTTGCTAAGCTCTGATTTAATTACCTCTATCATGTACCCCCTTTCGGGCTTCGATTTGGTTTTATTATTCAACTAAGATACTTCATGCTAAAAATAATAATAAGTTCTCCTTTTTGAATTATTTTCTAAAAAAAACATGGAAGTCCAATTAACTACAATTAAAAAAAAAATCAGTGAAAAAGAAGCCGAAATTAAAATGTTGTGGGAGAAAATTAGAGCCGAAAAAGAAAAACCTAAAGAGGAAATTATTGAAGAATTAAAAGGGATTAAACGTACCACTGGTCAGCACCCGGGCGGCTTATTAATTACTTTACCGAATACCGATATTCAAAAATACACCCCCCTTAATTACCCCGCTGATAATCGGCAAGCCGAATGAATGACCACCCATTTTGAATATAGTTTCTTATCAGAAATATTTCTCAAAGTAGATATTTTGGGTCATGACGAACCGACCATATTACAAAAATTGTTTCAGTTAACTGGTCAACAGCCCAGCCAGATTTCTTTTCAAGATAAAAATATAATGTCGATTTTTACTAATGCTGATACTTTGGGAATACCGGAGTTTGGCACGGATTTTGTCAAAAGGAATTTACTAACCCCTTTAAAGCCGACTAAATTTTCCCAATTGCTCCAAATCTCTGGTTTTTCCCACGGCACTAATGTTTGAACCCAAAATCAACAAACAATTTACAAAAACCAACAATTATCTTTGAATGAATTAATTGCCTGCCGGGAAGATATTTGAAACTTTTTAGTTTCGTGGGGCGTGGATAATAAACAAGCCTTTATTGCCACTGAGTATATTCGCAAAGGCAAGTGGGATGAACTATCAGAAGATATCAAAACCGAAATCAAAAATAAGTTAAGCGATAAAGAAGGGGAATTATATTTTTCAATACTTAGCAAAATAAAATACATTTTTCCCAAGCCCCACGCCATTGCTTATACCATGACCGCCTGACGCACTGCCTACTATAAAGTCTATTATCCGCAAGAGTTTTATTCGGTTCTGCTAACTTATCACACCACCGTTTATGATATTTGACTAATGACTTTGAACCCCTTAGCCATCAATTTCCGTTTAGAAAACTTATTAAATAGTTTAAACACTTATAAAAATAGTGAAAAGGAATTGCTTTCGATTATTAAAGTTTTTGAGGAATTAAATAAGGAAAAAAAAAGAATACAAAAAGCAGTAGCAGGAGAGAAAAAAATTCCCTGGGAAGTTTTAAAAAAATTTGATATTGAAAATATTTTAGCCAATATTCAAGAAAAAATAAACAACTCGGGGGATAAAAAATTAATTGAAAGTTTACGAAAGAATGGTCGAACCTGAAAACTAACGGCCAAAGAAAAAGACTTGTTATTCACTTTAAAAGTAGTTTTAGAAATGGAACTAAAAGGACTAAGTTTGCGACGCGGAGTAGATTTTAACAAATCCGAAATTAAAAACTTTAAAATAGAAAATGATGCTATCTACTTTCCTTTTACGGCTATTGCGGGAATTGGGGACAAAGTAGCTATCAAAATAATTAACTACCGGCAAGAAAAAGGACCAATCACTAATAATTGAAAAGAGGAGCTGAAGGAAGCGTTAAATATTAATCATCAGCAACAATTAGAAAATTTAGAAAAGCATAAGTTAATAATTAATGCTTAATAAGGGTTAGAGTTAATTTAATACTTTTTGACAACTATTTATTGGCACCTCTGTAATCTCCCAACCTGAAGTTTCAATAATGATCTTAACTTGCTGTTTTTTATTATCTAAATAAGTAATTTTCCCCTCATAATTGCTAAAAATGCCGCTGATAACTCTCACTAAATCACCTACTTTTAATTCGCTGCCATTGTTTTTAACTACGGCTTTATTTTCTTTTTTCTCTTGTAATTTAGCAAAGAGACTATTAATTGCTTCCGCCGAGACAAAATCGGGTAATTTATTGTCTCTTTCACTCCCCCTTTTATAATTCAAAAATCCAATTACACCCAGAATACCGTATAAAAACCTTACTAATCCGGTGGTCAAATGGCAAGAACAAAGCACATAACCTTTTAAAAGTTTTTTTTTATTAGTATCACTAACTACTTGCAAATCGCGAACATAATTCTCCCACTCGCTTTTTTTGGCTAATTCGGATTTAATTGTTTGGATGACTTTTTCTTCTTGTCCGCCCCGCACCGCTAGGATATATCATTGATATTTTAATTTTTGCTTTTGAACTGTTGAACTTTGCTTATCCATTTTTTTAGAGATTTGTTCCGCCTTCAATTCCTAACCATAAGAAGAAAAGATAAATAATAGCCATATAAAAGCAAATTACTATCACCATTAATGTACAAGAGCGAAAACTTAAATCAAAAGCGAGAAATTTAAAAAGTTTATTATATTTTCTAAAAGGGGTAAGGGTGTGTCTGATTTTCTTCATACTTTTAACAATTATTTATTAAATTACATTTTAAGGGTTTTTTTTGTATTTTTTGCTTGTGCTTACTTTTTTTCTCCGTTTTTCTCTTCCCTCATAACCCTTTTTCAATTTTCTGTCCTTTTTAAACTTTTTCAGGAAAAATAAGCATAAAGCAAAGCAAAAATAATAGTAATAATTCCAAAAAAGATAGCCAGTGGCTTGTGGCGTTTTCCCTGAGGGACCAGATTAAAATAACTACCAATTACGATAAAAGGCATGGCTAATCCGGCAGTAATAATAAAAAATAATTCCAAAAAATCTTTAATTTCCATATTTTGTAAAAAGTTTATCAGCATTTTTTTTTCTAGCAAAAAAAAAAATGCTTAATACATTTTTAAAGATAATAAAAAAAAAAAAATCTAAACTCGGTTTCCCCCTAAAACAAAATTATGGAGGTCAGCCCCAAAAAGTCCAAGCGGAAGAAAATCATTCTCCTTTTACTTATCATTTTTTCCCACCTGCTTCCCTTGGTCGTTTCGGCTTTTTATGATAAAGGATTACATGCTAAATATGACTTACAGGAATTAAAATATTGATTATGATTTTTTACTTGATGGTCAGCTTGGGCTTCTTTATTAACTGTGCCCTGAGCGGTTTATAAATTATTATGCTTACACAAAAAATCAACTTCTTATAAAGAGCAACTAGCAGATACAATAATTGCCGAAACTAATTTAATTAGTGGCGTGATTTTTTGTTTGGGCGGCTTTCTTTTAACTATTCCGACTAATAAACCCGCTACCATAAATTATCCAGTTTTGGGAGAATTAAAAACTATGAATGTGTGAGGTTTTTATAACTTTTTTTGACATTTTTTAGCCCCTTTATTAGTGTTTTACTACTTCTGAAAATACTGTTGAGTTAACAGAGTTAAGAGGAAGGAAAAATTAAGTTTAATAATTAATTTGTTTAATCCCACTCTTTATCTTTTTTATGTTTTGTTGCGACCAAAGATAAGCAATTTTTCTGGTAAACTCTACCCTTATGCACCGTTTTTTTGAATTATGAGAAACTATGCCAATAAAGGGGAGAGGGCGGCGGAGAAAAGCCACTTTTTATTTTGGAGTTGGCAGCCTAGTTGAATATCAGGTTTAATTTGGTTAGCAATAACGGTGATTTTTTGATATATAGTGTTTTCACTCTTGTTTTATTTGCTGCTAAAACTTAAAAAGGGTAAAAGTTGAAATACTAGAAACAATAATTGTAAAATCTATTAAATAAGAAGATGATTTTACCAAGCAATAAGTTAGACAACAATAAAATAAAAATACTATCATTAATTATTGGTAGAGTAATATAATAATAAATATGTCTCGCTCTTTAAAGAAACCTCTCTTCATTAATGAAAAATTACTAAAAAAGATAGAAAAAGTTAATCAAGAAGGGGGGAAAAAAGCTTTTAAAACTTGGGCTCGCAGTTCCGTAATTAGTCCTGAAATGATTGGTCATACTTTACTTATTCACAATGGCAAAAAGTTTCTTAGTCGCCAAATCACCCAAGACATGGTAGGCCACAAGTTAGGAGAGTTCGCTCCCACTCGGCAAATTGGCACTCATGGTAAGGCAGGCACTCGTTAAAATATTTTTGCTATGCAGTCAAGCAGGTATTATTTTACTGGTATTCTATTAGCGAATGAATAAAAGGTTTTTCTTTTTTTCACTCTTTAAACAAATCTTTTTCTACATAATCATTAATCTGGTGGGGTCAATTTAATTCTTTTTCGTTGTCAATAAAAGATTTAATTTTGTTTTTTCAATCATTAAGCAAATTTTCATTCTTTTTCATATTAATAAACCCATAAGTAAAAATATAAGGAGACTCGTTTAATTTTCTTTTTTTCTTGTTATAGAAAAGGACAATTAAAAATACTCCTCCTTGGGACATTTTTTCCCGCCAAATCAAGTTATTTTTTAATTCTCCCGCCGGAAGCAATTTGCCATCCAGAACATAATTTGGATGGGTCGGCACTTTAATTTTGCTTACAAAAAAGTCTTTGCTTCGGGCTTCTACTACTTCCCCATTTTGGCAAACAAAAATATTGGAGGCTGCAACCCCTACTTCTTTGGCTAAATAGCCGTGATTTTTCAGCATCCGAAAATCTCCGTGGAAAGGCATAAAATAGTGTGGTTTCACCAAGGTAAGCATTAATTTTAAATCTTCTTGACAAGCGTGTCCAGAAGCGTGGAGCAAATCTTCTTTATTATTTTCATATATTTTGGCTCCGAGAGCAAATAGTTTATTATTAATTATTTCGACATTGAACTTGTTATCCATAATGGGCGAAGAAGTCAAAATAATGGAATCGCCTGCGGCTACCTTTCAGTCCGGATAATTTTGGTGAGCCAACCGACTCAGAACCGCCTTTTCTTCTCCTTGGGAACCAGTGCAAAAAATAATTAATTTATTATTAGGAGTTTTAGCAATCGCTTCGGCTTTCAAAAAGACCGAGCTATCTATTTTTCACAAACTCGCTTTTTGAATGGCTTTCATCATTTTTAACAACGAAGAACCTAACAGAACAATTTTTTTGTCAGTTTTTTTAGCAATCTCAATAACTTTTTTTAAACGATAGACATTGGAAGCAAAAGAAGTAATAATTGCTCGACCAGTTGCTTCTGTAATAATATTTTCTAAACGCTTAATCACCCTTGTTTCCGAAGGAGTATTGCCTTCTATTTCCGCATTAGTGGAATCACTTAATAGCAAATCAACTCCTTGCTTTCCCACTTCGGCTAATTTCCCTAAGTCAGCTTTCTCACCAATTTCTGTTCAATCAAACTTAAAATCGCCAGTAATAACTATTCGAGTATTATCTCGCAGAACCTCAATTATCAAACCAAAAGAACCCGGAATGGAGTGTGTTACTCGAAAAAAACTAACCCGAAACTCCGCAGTGCGAATTATAGACTCGTCCTGAAAAATCGTGGCTCTCTCTTTGCTTTCTCCGCGTAATTTTTGCTTTAAAAGGGAAATAGAAAATTCTGAACCATAAAGAGGAATATCAGGAATTAATTGGAGCAAGTAAGGAATACCACCAATATGGTCCTCATGACCGTGCGTAATAAACAAACCTTTTATTTTTTTTCTCTTTTCTAACAGGTAAGAAAAATTAGGAATCGTGCCATCAGCCAGATTACTGCCATTGAGAAATTTAATGCCACAATCGACAATAATTATGTCTTCATTTTTTTCCAAAACATAGCAATTTTTCCCTACTTCGTGTAAGCCACCCAAGGCAAATATTTTTAAATTATTAGACATAAAAAAGTTTATTTGTTACTTATTTTCCCGCCACAAAGAAATACTACCTTTATAATTTACCATAAATATTTTATATGTTTTAATACTTACCGTGGTTCTTAAACTGTAATTTACCATAAGGATTACGATGATAAACTTTGACAAAACAATTTTTATCGCCTTTCTCTAGTTTTCCTATTTTCCCTATAATCTCGGGCTGTCAAGGAATATAAACGGAAACGCTGATAACTTGCTCTTCTAAATAAATAATAAAAAGAGTGGATTTCGAACTAACTTTTTGCCCTTCCTGAACTTCACATTGAAATATTTTATCCAATGGCAGGGGATTTTTCTTATCAACTTGAATATCTATTAATACTTGTAATCCTTCTCGATTAGTGATTTGGATAGCATAATTGGGATAGATTTTACTAATAACACCCGCTAAGGGGCTTTTGACTTGTCAACCTCTCAAATCACAAAAATAGTAGGCACGACCTATTAGCGATTTTTTATTCCCTTTTACAATTCGGCATTTAATGGGCGGGACCAGTCATTCTGACCAACTAATTAATCACAGAAAAAATACCTTTAATTTCTTCCAATCAATCTGGAACTTCATATTAAAAAGTTTTAGCCACCAAATTTTAAGAATATGTTAAGTTTTTTTAAAAAATTGGTTTTCGGTTTAGTATTTTCAGCAGTATCATTGGTTTTAGGAATACTCGGTTTTCAAACTTTCTTTATCTTTAAAAATTACCAAGTAAATAAACAAGATTTAGAATTAAGATTTGGCAAAGAGGAAGAGCGAAAAAAAAGACTAGAAAAGGTTGCCGAAATAGAAAAAGAAGCATGAGAATAGGGATTTAATAACTAATTTCCTCTATTTTTTTCAGTAAAATGAAATCATTTTTTAATTTTTGAAAATTAGTTAAAAAATCTATTTGCTGAAAATCCTTTAAAATTAAAAAGGCGGGAAAATTGTGGGTTAATTTTTCTATTTCCTCCTGAGAAATAATCTGACTGGTTAATAAACATTTTTTCTTTTGGTAAACGGCTACATGATATTTACTTTGGCGACTATCAATAGTTAGCAAACTAATAACATTGTTTTCTCCTGCTTGTAATAATAAAGTGTTTATATGATATATTTTTAGGCGGGGATTAAGAACTTGGAGAGTAGCCAAAAAGGCTAAACTAATGCGCAGACCAGTTTGTCCGCTGGGGAGAGAAGTAAAATAAATTGTCTTTATTTCTTTTAAAGAATGCTTGGTCGAGGCTAAAATTTGCTGTAAATGGGGTAAAAAGTTTTCGGAGTGCAGTCGAACATTTTCTTTTTGGATACTAGTTAAGCACTGCTCATTTTCTCCTAAAGCCAGAAAAAGAAAAGAGGAAGACAAACTAAACTGTAAGCAAAGCATTTAAATTAGATTTAGCATATTTTTATAGTTCAGTATATTTGGGCTCTTGCTTAACTGGCTGGCTCTTTTGACAGTCTTTACATATTCGGTTAAATACTCGTTCCAGGCATTTGACTTGCTGACACTTTTTACAGTGTCGGTTAATTCAGATAAGCAGAAAAAGGGCTAAAAAAATATTTTCAGTTATTAGGATTGTTAAAATTATGTGGGTCATAGTTATTTGTCTTTATTTCTTTCGATATATTTCTTACAATTGCCACAAATTCAGCCTTTATCTATTTTCACAGCCCCTAATTTTAAAATGTGCTGATAAGTGGCTATTTTCTGACAGTTGGGGTAATTGTATTGGCACTTATTTTTTGGCATAATCTTTACTTTCTTGAAATTCTTTGCCTGTGATTTGCTGGTAGCAAGGAGGACAGTAATAGTAGCCGTTTTCGTTG